ATCACAAACATTCAGGAATTATGAATTTGCATCAACACGAATTTTTATTCCTGAAAAGAAAATGAAGAAGAAGAAGAAGAAGAAGAAGAAAATGCTTTTTTTTATTCTTTTAAATCTTACGAAATTGAATTTTATAATTTGATTTTATAATCTTAATACTTTTTTTTTCAAATCTTTATATAAATATATTTGTATTATACTATTATTAATTTAATTGCAATATTTTAAAATAATATTAAAGGAAAAATGAAATAAGATCTTTGAGAAAATGATGTGTTATATTTTTCTAATTATTATTATTATTATTTTATTAAATATTTCAAAAATAAATATTATAAACTATTATATATAATACGAATATTTGATAGAATAGAAATTAATTAATTTAAAAAAATAATATATTCTACAAGATCATTTAGAAAGTTTTCATGGTGTTTGTTTCTTTTCAATTTATTCGATAAGATCGGACAAATTCTTTTTTATCTCTCTCTCTCTCTCTCTCTTTCTCCCCCCCCCTCTTTTTTTTTAAATCTTAATTATTATCTGGATTTTTCTTGATTAAATCTTACGATTAAAGAAAAGAAATGTTGTGAAGGGACAGGTTTTCTATATATATATATATATGTATAAATAAGTAAATATGTATATTGGAACCGGTCGTGAATTAACGAGTGTTGAAGCGAACGACAAAACACGCATGCGTGAAATGTGTAACATACTTCGATGCAACCTAGATGACCATAGGAAAAGAGGAAAACTGTACTTCCGGCACGAGAACATCTTTCTCTCTCTCTCTCTCTATCTATGTGCAAAGTAAGATTTAAAAAAAATAATATAATAATTAATTTGTGTTTCTTATCGTATTCGTTTGATCGTACATTTGACTGTATAAACACTCGAAATAATTTTACATAATTAATAGAATTAAATTTTAAATCAAATTAATTGACGTTTCATCGGAATAATTATGTTTGATTAAAAAAACATAAGTATTTATTAATTTAAACATTATAATATTATTGTATTGTATCAATTGTGTATTAATTTGTACTGTTTTATTTTTAAAGTAATGGTACAAGAGAAGTTTAATTAATATTGAAAGGGAGAGTATAATTATTATTATATTTTATAATTTATAAATTTTTTATATCACACAATTATATAATATTTATTATAATTTATAATAATAAATAATATTATTTTTAATATAATTTCGATTAAAGAAAAAAAAAAAATTTCACCAATTAAATCAATATTCGATTAAAAGTTAACAAAATTAAAATACCATAAATTTACATAAATATATTGCAAATAAAAAAAGAAAAAAAAATTACGAATTTATAAAAATAGAAGTTTCATAAGAAAATCTTCTTTCTACTCTCGTCTATCAACTTTAGGGATTTTTTTGTTTTTTTTCCATCCTAATCGATAGTATTTTCTTTAGATATATTGCAAATGAGAAAGAGAGATGAAGAAAGAAARAAAGGTGATCGAATAAACCCATGAAAGTCTTTTCCTTCTTACGACATTCGCATAAGAAACATAGTAGAACGGAAGATTTATTTGACGCGTAAAGTTTCGCCTAAAAAGTTTTCTCCTGGCCTCGAATACGTCGAATCCAGTTCGTTCGTTCACGAGAAAGCTCTATTTCTTTCTTTCATTCTTTCCATTCTATCATTCATTCTTTTCTTTCTTTTCATTCTTTCTTTATCTTTTTTTTCTTTTTTTTTCTTTTATCTTTACTACCTACCAACAAATTGTTATTCGTCAATATGTCAGTAACAAAAAATTACACCCTTGTTTCAATTCTTTGTTCAATGATAAAGTATAATTTTTTTTTTTCTATTTTTTATACTTCGATCTTTACTACGAAACACTCAAACACTTATAAACACGTACAGATTTTTTACTATTCAAATTGTTTAACTTATTTTTACTTTTTTATATTTTTCATTATTTTGTTCACATTCATCTACACATTGTATATTAGAAAATATGTTTACAAAGTAGAAAAAGAAATAGAAAAAAAAAAAGCAAAATAAATTGACTTACCCAATAATAATGTTGCAAAATCCAACGAATAATACAACACCCTTCCTACAAATGAAGAAAGAAAGAAAAAAAGAAAATAGTAAAAAATAACTACGAACGCGAAATAACAAATGTAAATATAAATATATTATAAAATAGTTCACAATTCAAATATTCCCGAATTTTCGCGCGGTCACCGAATCTGCGCGCGCGCCTGCGCGGAACTAAGAGACAAAACAAAAATCAAAATGATGGACAAAATCAAAACAAGAATTGAAGYGATAAGAAAAAGTTTAAATAAATAAAACAAAACAAAAACACACGCGAGTAGATTTGAAATTTGTGTAACACGTTAAATGAAAACAATTGTTCACATTGATTACTATAAATAATATATATATAAATAAAAGAATACCTTTATATATTCTTAACGATAAATCGATAAATCGCGATTTAATCCGTTCGATGTATCAACGAGTACTGGTGGTTGACCAGTGTCGGCGAACGGCCTTCTCCTTTCGTCTTTCCTTCACTCGTTAAACTTCCCCTCCCCTTTCCTTCATTTTTCCCCCATACACAAGTTCCTCTTCCCCACCATAAAAACAATTCGGAAGAAGAAAGTAGGCTTCTGGTTCTTCTTCTTATAATTCCGTGAATTGACTTCGCTATTACTTGCCATCCAACACAAAACTGGTGCGCCGTGTTTATTATACGAAAAAGAAATAAACTGTGTTAGTGTGAGTGAGTGAGTGAGTGAGTGAGTGATAGAAAGAGAGGAAGGAGACATGGTAAAAGAAGAAGTGGTGGGGAGGGGAACGGGAAGGTTTGTAAAAGAAGAAAGGATGAAATGAGATAGAAATATTATTTCTACCTTTGGTGCTTTCCACCTCGTCGAAAGTTTTCTACGCGCTATTAATGCGTCGATTAGGATGAACGCTTATATGCGCTCGCGCGCGCGCGCGCGAACACGAGCGCGTGATTTGGGCCGCGAAATAAATACCACGATGTGTTGTGTTGTGTTGTGTTTGGTTTGCTTTATTATAGATTCCAATCTGTGCTTTCTTTTTCTTATTTGTCAGTGGAAAGGTGAGACGTGTAAGTGTAGATGATGGTAGTGAATGCAGGTGAACGAAAATGAGAATATTATTGTTTATGTGTTTTTCAGTTTTCGATTTCTTTCTTTTGACGTTGAAACGAGGAACATGGAACAAGGAACGGTGGATGGGAAATAGAGTAGTGTCATTTGTTGTTTTGGTTTTTTTTTTTTTTTAAAGAAATGTAACAGGAGAATGAAAAGGATGAGGAAAGGGCTACTTGAACGTTTAGAGTAGCTAGGGAAAGGGGTGAGAAAGGGGTTGATAACGTGTCGAGTGTTTACTCAAGAAAGAAATAAAAAGTTTTACGTCCAAGAAGAAGAAACCACACAACCACCTTTGGGTTGAGTAAAATTTCAAACGATATAAATGGCCGCCGCGTACCTCTTGGAAAAGAACTTTTTACCACTCGTGCGGATAGAAAAGTTTTTCCAACCCTCATCCCATATTTCCCTTCCCTTTCACCCTCACCACCACTGGTTTTCTATGGTTAGGAAATTTAAGCTCACGAGACGCGAAAAAAGACCACAGAAACAGACAAATTTCTGATAGTAGTGGTGAGAAAAATGTATAGTTGAAATAGAGTGAGGGTGGAAAGCATGTAATTGGTGATTCACAAGTGTGGAAACTTTTAAAATTGTTTTTACCAATGTGTGTTCATTTTGCTCGAAGGGGTTGCACCCAAAATCATTGAATTTCGTTTCACGTTGCAATGTGCAAAATGCATTCATTTCAAAATTGAAGTATTCATTTTTTTTTTTTTTTTATTAATAATTAGAGTTGATTTGATTTCGTATGATTTTTATAGATAACTTTGGAGATATCAATTTTAATTTAGAAACAATTTTGATCACATTGTAGATATGTAAAATAATAATATTTATTTGGGAATCTTTAATTTGTATTTAGTTGTTTTAATTAGGTATATATATATATTTGATTTTAATTTATATAATTTTAGAGATAACATTGCAGATATAAATTAATTAGAAAAAATTCTTATGACATTGTAGATATATATAATTTATAATATTTATTTGGAAATCTTTAATTTATATTTATTTGTTTTAATTACATATGTATATAGTTGGTTTTAATTTATATAATTTTAGAGATAAACATTGCAGATATAAATTAATTAGAAAAAATTCTAATAACATTGTAGATATATAATTAATAGTATTTATTTGCGTATTATTAATTTATATATATATATTTATTATATATATATAGTTGACTTTAATTTATATAATTTTAAAGATAACATTGTAAATATAAATTAGTAATTAAAAATACTATTTATATTCATATATTTAATTAATATTTATTTATTGTAAAAATTTATTACATTATTGTAACTTTAATTAATACTTACATTACACAAATAAGTATTAATATTAATATTATTATAAAACAACATGTTAAGATCTTTGGGATGGTTGAGTTTTAATATGTTCTAAACAAAATAAAAAAAAAAACAAAAAACAAAAAAATAATAAAAGGAACATTATACAATTGTATACTTTTGTATGGTGCATCATTTTATCAAAATAACACTTTGTCGAGTGGTACGACTACTGTAAAAGGTTTGTGTGCACATTATGACATAATTGCTTAGGAAAGTTCGTATATGTCTAGCTCATATACCGATTGTATGAAATACATATATAGTAATAAGTAGTACACGAACAACACTATACTACTTAAGTATATATATATATATATATAACTACTACTGGTGGTAACATATGAAACTTGTTCAAACTCTCTCACGTTGATATTTGCAGTAGTTAGACGATAATAAGACGAGAAACTGCAACAATTTCCTAAAATATTTCAACAATTTCGTAGATCTTATTACACGTATTATTTTATGATAATGCAAAACACACACACATATATACTAATACTTACGTATTTATTTATTTTATTTCAAAGAAAGAAAATAAATTATAACAATGTAAAATATATTAGATAATTACGCGTTAAGTGTTAAATATATTTAATATTTAGTTAATTGTAATAATAAATATTTGTAATTATTATAATAATAATTGATGAATAATATATATATAAAAATATAAATAAATTATAAAAAGAATGATAATAATGTAAAATACAATACATTAAATAATTACGTTTAGTATTAAATATAATATTAAGATAAATATATAATAAATATTTAATTAATTGTTATAATATAATTATTTTTTAAAGAATATATTTATATTATTATTTAATATTAAATAAAATTATATTATACATTTTATATCATTTATATCACCAATATATTATTTACATTTTATAAATACTACAACACGATAATATAGTAATAATAATAATATAATAATAAATAAATATTTATAAATTATGTAACAACGTTATATAATAATTTAATACAAAAATAATATAAAATATGATATGAAAGTAACTAAAAACAAGTTTAATATCGATTAAATATTAAAACATCTGCTGGTGATGCTGGAAACAGCTGTTGAATTTATCTACTTTTACGAGAAAACGTGATTGGCATTCATAGATGAATGGGTTAGATATAAAAAAAAAAAAAAGAAGAAAAAGAACAAGAAGAATAAAAACGTAAACTCTCTCTCTCTCTCTCTCTCTCTCTCTCTCTTTCTCTCTCTCTTTCTCTTTCTTTCTTTATTACTGACTACAAAACTTTCAGGGTCAAGTTCGATTTCCAAAGTGTTCTCGTCTACTTCGATATGGTTTCAATTGTGTCACGGAGAATAATTAAATTCTATTGAAATCACTCCACAAATATTTTTTCTACTTATTAACTAAATTAATATCATTAATAAAAAAAAGCCCAAAAAATATTTAAAAAAGAAAAATAATAATTAAAAATTTTAAATGATAAAAAGAAAAAAATCATGAACACTTAGATAATAAAAATAAATAAAATAAACAAATATTTATAATATATTATATATTAATAATAATAAATTAAAAAAAATACAATTTGATTTGATATATTTTTTTGTTTTATTATTATTATTATTATTATTATTATTATTATTTTAGTTATGCACAATTAATTTCTCATCACTTTTCAAAACATTGTACTGATAACCCACTTTTGTAACCAATAAACGATTTCTTTGGTCCACTTTTATTGGTCGGTGAAGGTAGAACCCATGAATAAAAAAACGAAACAACAAATGTGACGAAATAGAAGAGACAGTTGTATGTATCTGTCTGTCTGTCTGTTTGTCTGTGTGTATGTGTCACTCGTATGAATCCTATTGAATGACATTAAAAACCTCCTTCCCTCTTTTATTATATTTTATTATTTATTATTTAAAAAATACAAAATACTATCTAATAAAGTGAAATGTAAAATTGCATTTCATTTTTCTTCTTAGTTTTGTGTGTGTGTGTGTGTGAATCGTTGGAATCCGAAAGTAGTATCATTTTCTCTCTCTCTATCTATCTCTCTCTCTCTCTCTCTCTTTCTCTTTAATTCTCACTTTTGTATCCAATAATTTCACGTTTTAACGTGAAAACAATTAAAAAAAAAAAAAAAAGATAATATAACGTTTTTATCCAACTATAATAAATTTGATAAAATAAGAAAAGGAAAATATTAGAGAGGGAAAGAGGGGAGGAAATGATAGGGGATACAAAAATAGAAAGAAATCTTATTGCAACACTGCAATCAATGCATTTTTAATAAACTTCGCTCATTTTATATCCATTCGCTATAATGAAGATAATAATAATAATAATAATAATAATAATAATAATAATAATAATAATTATATTAATTATAATCATAACCATACTTATAATAATAATTATAATAAACGTTATTTCACTTACACGATTTAATATAATGTCCACTATGACAAAGATGATAACATTTATGTTAATCATTTAGGAACCAATATAATAATAATAATAATAATAATAATAATAATAATAATAATAATAATAATAATAATAATAATAATAATAATAATAATAATAATAATCATTATCATCATCATTATTATTATTGTAATAAGTTAAGATAAAATTTAATAACATCGTATGTTAACATTTCAATTTTTCTTCTTTTCCTATTATTTATTATTATATTTATAAATAAAATCTTTCGATGAATAATAAATATAATAAAAATTGTGAAAGATTTTTTTTTTGTTGAAGTATCTTAATATGAACATTCGATGTTATTTATTTATTTTTAATATAATAATAATAATAATAATAATAATAATGATTGATAAATAAATAAATAAATAAATAAATAAATAAATAAATAAATAAATGAGAATGGGATTAAAGTAGTTGTCCGGTTTTGTTGCTGTTTGTTTTATTTCCAGCTTTGATTTCTTTTTTTTTTCTTTTTTTTTTTTGACGAACGATCGATGGCCTCGTTGTACGAATCGATATGCAAGTATTTCTTCTACTTTCAATTATAACATATGCATATATAATATAATATATATGTATATAATATATGTAATGTTTAAGTATGTATATCTATATTCATGTGTAATCTATATTATATATATATATATATTATTTTTTATTTATTATTGTAGGTTGTTGTATTTGTTTGTAACTGTTTATTCTGTTATCGTTTATTATTATTATTATTATTATTATTATTATTAATATTATTATATATAATTTATATTATTGTGAGATAAATAAAAAATTTGATGAAGAAAATTGCTTTTTAAAAATAATTTAAAAATTAATATTTTTAAGAACAAATTTGCATTTTATTTCAACTTTGAAATTGATTAATATACATTTTCTATTTGTTTTTCATTTTATATATGTATATATGTATATGTATATGTATATATATAAATATGTTTTATTTACTGGTAATAATTAATTAATTACAATCAAAGTAATAATATAATAATAATAATAATAATAATAATATTAAATTAAATAAATAAATTCGGACGTAGTGAAGAAGTTCGTTCATTCGCATTTATATATATATAGAATTATATTATTATTATTTATTTATTTTATTTATTTGTTGGTTTCATTTAAGACAAAAGTGTTATCGAAGATGATCCAAACCTATTTTCCATATGGAAAAACTTAGAAGAGTTATATTTATTTATTTACTCACTTATATATATATATTTATTTATTTATTTATTTAGTATTTTATTTTACTTCTTTTTTTCTTCCATTACATTTCTGTTTTTTTATGTTGTCATGTTTATTTATCTCTTTTTCGAAAATCTAAGAAAAGTCTAGTTTTATGTGCACTATTTAACTAGGAAATGAATATATTTATATATTTTTTTTATTAAGGGACGACTTTTCTAAAAACTTCGTTCTCTACGTGAGCATAGTGTATGATGTATTTTTATGCATGTATTGATAATTATTTGTAAATTATTTATTTGAAATGTTTCTTTTCTTATTACTTTTATCTTTCCTCTTATTTTCATCACATTCTCTCATGTTCAGTTTAATTAATTTCATTCTTCTGATCATTTATTATATTTCATATAAGTATTTTATTAATTATTGTTATAATATATTTAATAGTTCTATATTTTATATATTATATTTTATATTTTAGATTTTAGATTCAAGAGCATTTTGAGAAACACTTTTTTTGCGTCGTATGATTTGTGAACACTTGCGAGACAAATTTCGCCGGTTGCGTTTGTTTTCTTCTTTATTTTTTTTTTTTTTTTTTGGTGTGGACTTGACCTTACAGTGAAGCAGAACAGCATTTTTATTTAAGAACGTCAAGGTTTTCTACGATCATTTTGGTTTGTTTAATTTGAGTAACTTTTTGTTTTTTTATTCAACTGAACGAAGAATTATATTAATTAATTAATTAATTAATTTAAACAATTAAGCGAGTAAAGTTTCCAATTCTTTTCTTTTTCTGTCGTACGCATGAATTTCGAAAACCTCGACGATCATACTTTTTTTTTTTTTAATCATTTGTCTATCATTATTGTTATAATAATACAGTAATACTAATAATAATCATAGTAATATATAACAATCATTGAATAATATTAATTAACAATAATAAAAATAAAAAATAAAAATAATAATAATAATTTTTCAATATATCAATAATGCGATCGTAGAGGAATCAAATTTAATTTAACTATAATGATCGTTTTGTATAAATAAAGACTAGAATTTTTCATGATAATACGAAATCACTAAGAACTATTCTTTTTCACTAGGATTTTGTTTTTTTATCATCCCTCACACTTTTATTCCTTTTCTTTTTTCTTTTCTTTTTATTCTTCTCTCGCGTGTTCTCTTTCCCTTTAATTATTTTTAAATAATACTTCTTTTATTATTATTTAATTTTTTTTTTTTAAAGTTACATACAAAGCGACCTCTCATCATTTCATTTCACACGTAAATTCATTCAAAATGTTTTCTTTTTTTTTTCTAGTTTTCCTTCTCATTGCCCATTTTTTTTTTTACGTTTCTTTTCCTTCTATTCTCTTCTTACGTTCGTCTCCTTTGTTTTTGGGTTTTTGTTTTTGTTTTTTTTTATATTTTTTATGTTAGCTTTTTTTTTTTTTAACTTTTTATTTTTTTCTTGCAGGTACTAGATGTGTTCTATCGAGGCGCTAAATCATTTATACCTTTCATAAACATTTCTTCTTGTTATCATTTTTTTTCTCATCATCATTTCATTACATTTCATTTCTTTTTTCAATCTTAATCCATTGGTTTATTTTTATTTGTATATATATATATATTTATATATATTTATATAATAATTAATTTCTACGATTTATATAATACTAAAAGGCGAGTCGTACTCGGAACTATTACAATATTAATTACTATAATTGCATAAATACTTTTTTTTTTATTTCTTTCTCTTTCTCTCTTATTCTTTTTCCCTATATATATATATTTATATAATATATAATATATTTCAGAGTTAATAATAATATTATAGTAATATAGCAATAATAATCATTAATAATATATAATAATAATAATAGTAGTAGTAATAGTAATAGTAATAGTAATAGTAATAGTAATAGTAATAGTAACGTACGTATTACAGTAATGGTGTATCGGCTATATACCGGATTTAAAAAAAAAATCACGGCAGACGGAATCTTTACAAGGTCGACGAGACCCTTTTCCAGAAAAGAAAAGGCCAAGTCCTTTTTTATTATATTTTATTCTTGTTTATTTATTTGTTTTATTATATCGACTAGCTTTTATATATGTTTGGTTAGTTTTATCAGGTTTATTTCTTTTCTTTTTTTTTTCTTAGTTTTTTTTCTTTTTTTTTTTCTTATAAATCAGCTGAGTGATCAAACAAACGATCCCTTTTGGATGATATGAATGTATTTTTTATTTGTTATGTTCGTTACTTGTGGTTATGTTTATCGTTTGTTGTTGATCGTGTTACTTTTGGAAAAAAGAAAAAAAAAAACAAAAAGAAAAATAAAAAAAAAAAGGAGAAAAATCGCCCGGAATCCTAATTAACTTATTATTAGTTTAAATATCCTATATTTTTGTCATTCAAAATTAGCTTATTAGCTTTTTAAGAATAGATATATATATATATATGTTATATTTTTTGTTATATATTATATCACACTAGTATTATCCACGTTGTCGGTGAATTATTCTCCTTTTTATTTCTTTCTTATACGATTTTAGAGTTCCGCCCGCAGAACCCTGGAAAATAAATTAATTACAAATGTTACCATCACAAAAGCAAGTTTCGAAAGAATGTGTCGAGTGCACAGGATAATTTATTATATAATATTATAATAAAATAATTTTTACTTATTTTTCTAATTATTGTTTATTTTAAATTTATAAAAATGTGCGCCTGTAAGAATGCAACCCTCCATACACACTTTGAAAATGTGGTTTGCGAGCGCCATCTGTTGGGACGACAATTTTTTTCAGTCCAAACTGTTCATACACGTATGTATTACGGGTTGCCTATCTTTCGGGCAGAACAAAAATTCCGAATCAACAGATGGCGCTTGCAAGCAACATTTTCAAACTGTGTTTGGTGGGTTGCATACCTACAGGCGCACATTTTTATAATTATTAAATAATTAATAATAATTAAAATTATTTGATGTTAGACTTTTAATAAATAATATAAAGATTAGAAAATTGTGCATAATATTATTGGAGAACAATCCATGATTTAAAATCATGTATATTTGTGTATCATCATATGTAATATATTATTATTAATATTAAATAAATATATTATATAAAATTTGTTTACCTGTCATTGCTTAGCGGACTTGTACCTGGCCAATTTGAGTTGCACCGGATTAGAAACTTTGATGTGAACTGCTATATCCTCTACAGGTGCTTCACGAACATCTTGTCCGCAAATGGCAACTACTCGATCACCTTTGCATATTTTTCCACTTTCTAAAGCACTACCACCAGGTAACTACAAAAGAATAATATTCAATTAAACGATAAGATACAATTTATCTGGAACAATATTTAAAAATAGAATAAAATTGAGAAAGAAATAATATGATTGCGCCTGTAGATAGGCAATCCTTTTGTTAAAGTCTCTCTTGTGTATACATAATAAATGTAAAGTGTTGTTGCATACATTCAGACTTCCATCAACAAAATCGATGAGAATCGAAGTATATCAAAGTTTATTTTTAATACAAAAATGTTATTACGTGAACGATAATAAAAATATATATATATATATATATATTTATATGTATATAAATTCTATTATTGTATGTTCCCAATATTTCTCTCTCTCTTTTTTTTTTCTTATAGATTTGTGAATCCCAACAAGGTACACAAAGTTTATAAGTAGATTAATGCGTCAAACCCAGAAGAGAGAAAAATATGTAAGCACGCGAATGAGATATCGATTCTGATGTTTGCGTTTCTTTTTTTAGTAACATGACACATCAAGTCTTATACTAAAATTATATCATCATCATAATAATAATCATCATCATGGTTTCAAATCTTTCTTCTTTTTTAGGATAGATATTTTTATGATTATATCGTACCAGATCTGAGACGTAAGCACCCTTGCCACTTTTAAATCCGGTCAAACAGAGACCAGCTCCTTTTCCTGATTTCTTTTGCAATTCAACTTCCAATTCTTCCGATGGTTTATCACTTCTATGTACCACCATGACTATCTATTTTATATATAGGAAAAAATAAAAAAAATAAATTATTTAATTTAATTTCTTGTTTGAATATAATCAAGTATTAATATTATTAAGTTGTTATACTAACTGTTCCCGTAACTTTCATTACTGCTGTATGAGCTTGTTCATGTTCTATAGATTTGAAACTTTCTTGACATATATCAAGAATTTGATCCCCAGCTTGCAATCTGCCATCTTTTCCAGCTGCCCCATCCGGAAATACTTCGAGAATAAATACGCCACCCTATATAATGAAATAAAACATATAACAAAATGAGTATATACATAATTAAGGTATACCTAAATACCTAATTAGTATATATAATATATAGTATATATAATTATTACTAATAATTGTATATTAAAATATACCCTTATAGGGTATTATAATATAAATAAATAAAATATAATGTAAATAATATAAAAATATATATTATATAATTATATATTATAATATAAAAAAGGTATAATTAAGGTATACCTAAATAAAGTTATTTATTTCAATATTATTTTAATCCCTAAACGTGTTAAATTAAATAAGTTAAATAATTTTTAAATATAAATCTAATATAATAAAATTTTGATTTATTGAATTAATCAAATAAATTTACCATAGGTGTGTCGCTACCACCAGTTATAGTAAAACCAATTCCTTTGTCTTTTTCTTTCTGAAATTCTATCGTAGTGTCCTTATTAACTTGTATTTTACAATCTTTTGGATCCTGTGGTGGTTCTGGTTCTTTAGGTTTTTCTGGCTCTTTCTTTTCCACTAATAAAAAATAAGACAAATAAAAAATGATATTCATCATATGAACGTTTACAATTAATATAATATAATTGAATTGAATGTTTAATCATTTGAATTAGAAAGATTTGATTTACCTGGTTTAACTTCTGATTCGGGAGATTTGATTTCTTTACCATCCTGACCAATTTTACTTTGATTCGGATTACAAACGGTCAACTTGACTACGCCCTCGGCCTTCTTCAAGAGACTCGTAGCCTAAAATTAATTCTCCCTGTTACGTTCGATAAACGAAATCGATCCGATCAACGTGTGTATTTTTAGAATCTAAGTTATGTATATAAAGAAGTGTTGCGGGGATGAAGGAAGGTTTTGTGTGGAAAGTATCAAGAGAAAGAAAGAAAGAAAGAGGAAGGAAGGAAGGAAGGAAGGAAAGGAAGGAAATCAAATTCTAAAACATACAAACCTCGTCATAAGTTGAACCAAGTAGACAATCCATGTTAACGGCAAGAATCAAATCACCTACTTGCAAACCGGCCTAGAAATAGAAAAAAAAAAAAAACAATTATTATTTAAATTATTTATTTAATTATATGAAAGTAGTTATTTCAATAATTATATACAGGGTGGTAGATATTTTCATTTTTATTTTTATGATTATATATTTATTATTATTGTTAGTGTTATGGTTGTGTAATAGAATATTTGAAATAAAAGTTATGAGATTTTGATGGTGGAATATATTTATATTATAATTATAATTATATTAAAAAGAAAAAGAAAAAAATTAAATTATAATTATATAATATAAAAAAAAATATAAAATATATAGTTATTGTGTTATAGTATTATATAATATAAATATCAAATATAAAAGTTGTTAGGTTTTGAGAGTGGAATATATTTATATTATAATTATAATTAAATTAAAAATAAAAATAAAAATAAAAAAATAAAATTATAATATATTATAATTATAATTATATATATAGTGTTATTTGTCACAGGTTTATTTAATACTATACTTTAAGGTATACAATATACCACCCGGTATATAAAATTGTCCTAAAAATATGTTGTTGTTTTTTTACCTGTTCAGCAGCACTGCCTTCTTGAATATCAGAGACGAATATTCCTTGGCCAACTTCGGCGTGCTTACCCTCGATGATCATTATGCCAAGACCGTATTGTCCCTAAAAGAACGAATGAAAGAAAGAAAACCCATTAGTTGGGAAAAAGAAATTAAAAGAAAAAAAAAAAGAAAAATAAACATTATCCATCTAAAAACTGACCTTTTTTACTGGAACAACACGGACCCCTTTGTATCCACTAAATTGCTCGCTCTAAAAAAAAAAAAAAAAAATTAGGACATCTCAGTATTTTATTTTTTTCGTAATTATACACACATATATATCAAAAATATTGTATAGCGTGTGTGTGTGTGTGTGTGTGTGTTGGTGGATGGGTGAGTTTATAAATAATTTAAATATATCAAATAGGATTCGAATACCTCATCCAAAATTGGTGGAAATGAAATCAATGGTTTTACTGCGACATCATCAGCACCTTGTGTTTTCCTATTAATTAACATTAATTTCGTTAATTTACGTTTATTTAATTTTACCAATACACCGTGTAAATTACATTAATTTATATGAGGATTATTTAATATAAATATTAAATATTAAAAATTCAAATAAAATAATTATAATATGATTCATTAATGGAAATCATTTTGATTACACAAATTAAATTGGAATAAAATAAAAATGAGGATTATTATTATTATTAGTATTATTATTATTTCTTACCGATGAACGATGATTTTAAAACATGTACCAGCCATACCCTTTATCAAGGCTGAAGCGTTTAAATGACATCTTCCTTTAAATACCATACCATTCACCTAAATAGAAAATCATTTTTTGAATTCTCAAAACGCGTCACACGATTTATTATTCAAATTAAATGAAAATAATTTTCTTATTCGAGTATTTATTTTTACAATAAAATAAAAATAAATAAAATTAAGGGGACCTTCTACTCTGCAATTTAAAAAAATTTTTTTTTTTTTTTACATTTTTCGAATGTATATATATGTAGAAATATTGTGTTAAAATTTCAAAAAGATCCGATGTCTCTAACTACATTTTTGGTGCCTGAACGTAACTACCTCGGACCGCTTTCCTGAGCGTTCGGCGCGCACGGACGACTCTTATCTTGTTCAATCCCTTTCTCTTT